TTGTTTCTTTTTTTTTAAGTCTTAACCACAAGTGTGCAAATATTTAAAAAAAACACACACACACAAAAAAAGCTGCATTAATGAATATCTGCGGGCCTGCGACGCAACCCCCCTCCCCTTCCATGAATCAAACTCATGTGATCAGTAACATTTCCCAACCACTCTACTTCCTCATGAAGATCCAGCCCTGTGCTCTCTATGTCTGCCTCTTTTTCCACCCCCAGCTTCCTATAGCCCTACCAGGAGCGCCTTTATCCCTTCGCCCCTCCCCCAGGACTATGATGAACAGGACACAAGCTAGCAGGAAGTGATCTGTATAAACTCCAAAGCCCAAAGCTTTGTCTGCAGCTCCCTGCTCTTCAGGTATGTCTTTATTTTCAGCAGGCTCCCCTGTCCATGCTGGCACCTATTTTATTGTATAATGTTTTAGATTATTTACATTTACACTTGGGGCGATTGTTCGCCATTGCTGATCAAAGCTGACTATTGGCATTTGAGCAGCGATCGACTTTTAGGTGTGTTCAGGCATAACCGCACTGTTTTTAATGTTGTTGTTGTTATTTATTTGGAATAAGAGCCAGTAATGCATTGCAAGCACAATCTGTGGATCTTGGGTGCAATGTTCTGGCTCCTACAGACTCTTCCTCCCATCCATGTCTATAGCGAAACAGGGATAGGCTGAAGGAGGAGGAGGGTGGCGGTGGGGACAGGAGAACAGATGAAGAATGGACTACATTCAGTGCAGTAATGTCACCGCTCTTGTATTCCATCGAGAACTCCAAGTCCCTCTGCTGCAGTAATGTATGGCTCTTACTGCAGGAGCACTTTTTCACTCCACAGAAGACAGAAGGTGCAGGTCTTTTAAAGGACATGCCCTGATGTTGGGGGGATCTGTGGCCTTAACGGGGTCTTTTTCCTCCTCCCATTTAGGGGTCTCTCTTCAGGAGAGCCCCTACCTAGTATTTGGAGGACTGGTTTTGACTGGTCCCCAAGGATCGGGGTCCGCCTGGCTAAGCGGACTAGAGTGCCTTGCGCCTCAGGGATATTGTGGCCCTCTTTTTTGGAAGAGGACCAACGCACCCCCTTGCACTTTTTTTTGTGTGCTGTGATTTCACAGCTCACTTTTTGTTGTCGCAGAGCTTTAAAAAAAAGAAAAAGTGGCTAATGTGACTTGTAATTTCTCTATTCATAGATCCTGTCAAAGGATTTGTGATTAGAGATTTAGGCTGAGATCTGTGTGAACCCAGTTTGCCCAAGTCCACTCAAAACTCTTAGCCCTTTCTTCCGACCCAATCGGTTGTGGCGGGGCATTTGTGACATATAGCTGTAGGGCATGAAATGTGACTCCCCTCAGTCAATTGGAAGGGGAGGAGAGGGTTGAGTGGGCTTGGGCAAATTGGTAAACTGGGTTCACAGCAAGCCCATACAGCCATGCTATATTTAAAAAAAAAAAGAGTGGCAGCCTGCTGGAAAAGAACCCCAGGATTTAGGTAAATGGGGTGGCGGGAGGAGGGTAGGGGTGTTGCAATGTGACCCTATTTTAGGTTACATCGTAAATATGTGTGTAACCTGAAACATGGTCTAAAGGGTAAACTTTGCCTTTAAGTTGTGGGGGGGAGGGGGTTGTTGCTGAAATGATATGGGCTCATGCTTTGACTACTGTTTTTCAGCAACACATTGACAGTCATTGCTTGGGTACATAGAAAACAGTTGTTTTCTTATGTGTTCTGTTCACATCGCAGGCGTGATGTGCTGCGAAAAAAATGCACTGCCTGCTGCTGTGCAGAAAGCTGAATGGAGTGCACACTCTACATAAAGTTTTTCAAAAAATAAACCATGTGATACACTAAAACAGCAAATCTGTGTTTTTTTTTTCCTTTAGAACTTTATTGAAATATCCCAAGTAATATTTCATTCAGTTCTATTCACCGCAGATGTGTTGCAATGTGGTGGTTTGTGTTGCAAAATGTCACCCTGCATGCCAGAGCCCCTCCCTTAACATCAACGTTCCCCCTTTTCTGGAGGAGGTCAGATTCAGACCAGGATCAGTCTGATCGCTGCTGGTGACCATGACCATTTTTAACTGGGGCTAAAAGTGAGGAAGAAACCACATTTTTAAATTGCCACCAGAACAGGAATATAGGGGAAGTTTTCCAGTGGGGGACACTTATTCCAGTGTCAACTGTTTTGGCTTTAGTTCTGCTTTAACTCTGCAGGCAGGGTTTCATAGCATTTTCACCCCCCTGCTCCTGTAACTAACACATACACATATATTTTATTTTTTTCAGGCAACAAGATGGGCTCCATTTTCAGAGGGGAAGAGATGTGCTTGGCTCAGTTGTTCCTGCAGTCGGGCTCTGAATATCAGTGTGTCAGTCGGCTGGGAGAACTTGGGCTAGTGGAATTCAGAGACGTGAGTACATTTGTGATGTGCTACTAAAGAAAACCGGTTTAGTTGATCAGAGATTAAGGGTGTGGCCATATTAGGCTGTTTTTTTTTTTTCCTGTAGGTTTTTGTTTTTGTTTTCTCTTGTAGCATGTTCTTGAAGTTTTGCAGCTTTCGAAAACAACATTCTTCCAGTCAGCTGATAAGTGTGGCCCCAAATCAGGAAGTTTTTTTTTTAGTTTTTTTTTTTATCATTGAACAGTTGCTTACCCATCTAAGAAGCTTTCCTGTAAATGGGAAAACTGTTTTATTTGAAGATAACCTGTCACAGGCTAGTTTGTTTGTTGGGTTGGATGAAGTGTGTGAGTGATGGACAGTGTTACTTATGTTACCAATAAGGGAAGTTGATTGTTGTAGTTTATATAAACTTTAAAGTCCTAAAGATTGTCTTATACCCTCAGTCAGTGGCCTTTTCTTTTGTCCAGCTGCTACTTTTAAACATTATAATTTGTTTTTCTTTTTAATTCTGCAGCTTAACCAAAATGTTAACGCCTTTCACCGTCGCTATGTCTCGGAAATTCGGCGTTGTGACGACATGGAGACAACCTTTGGTGAGTGTGAGGGCATTTCCCTTAGAAGAGGGGTTCTCTTCTCTTTAGAAGAGTTCAGTGCTTTTCCCCATAGTTCTCCCCAGAGTCACAGGAGGACACAAACTAGCATCCTCCTGTGAGCCAAAACTCGGTACACCGCAAGCTACAGCTTGCGGTAAACTGAGACCGCCGCAGCCGGGACGGATCCCGACATTACTGTCGAGATCCACCCAGCTACGTGATTGCCAGCTGGCTCTGCCTATCTAGAGGCAAAAAGGAAAGTTGTTACTGTACTGGGACCCAAGGAGAATATGAGTACCGTAAGTCAGCAAAGTCATACACAAACATTAACCGTATAAGAAATATTATATATATATATATTATATATAATCACATACTGTAAATAATGCAGTTCTGTATTCATATTACATCATGGCAGGGTCAAGGAGCACACATGAGAACCACCACAGAACATGACCTAAACTGGTGGTATGATGCTAGGTACCCACATCTACTGTTTTACAAGCTGACTCTGCCTTAAATGACTTGCCCTTCCATAACTGAAACATGTTCTGAAACTTTATGCCTTTTTCTTGGGTTTGTTTTCATGCTGTGGGTGTTTTCTAAAAAGAACATATTGCAGATGTTCTTCTCCAATTCTGTAAGTTTATGTAAAGCCAAGAAAAATTAGATCTTTTTGTATTTTTTCCTTATACTAATAACTAGCACTGGGTCTCTTCACCTTACAATCTTGTCTAGGTAATTGCCCCTCCTTGCATGCATTTTTGCCCACCATACATGCCTGTGCCGTCCATTATAGCGTGCAGTCAATGATCTGCTGAATTTGTGCAGATTTGCAAAGCCAAGTGGCAACCTGTCCCAAATGTACACATGACCTAATTTTGGTTCCGACCCTTAGTATAAGAAACACTGCCGTAGTTCAATGAGACACGGCTGTCCCTGCTAGAAGGAAAGGGGAGCATTGTGTGGTGCTTGAGGATAGGGAAATTTGGGTGAACCTGTTCTTTATCCACACCAGCCCCTGCTGCAGCAGCTTCTACTCTACTTCCAGATATAAGGGAGCGTTTGACTCACTCTGCTTCCTACAACTTGGCACTTGGAAACCAGCCCCCTCCAACTTGATATCACTGGTGCATGACAGGTGGCCACCAGCTCAATCACAAAGGGGGTGGAGAGTTCTCAGCCCTAGCTAAGCTCTGATTAGGATAGACTGAAGGCTTGCCCTAAGATTTGAGAGAATAAGGCTTCACCTCTTCAGTATTGCCAATAAAATGAGTGAATAGAAGGTCTGAATAAGCTCCTCCAGGGCTGGTGTTAACATGAACCCATTTTTCACTACATCTGTGGAATGTGATCATTGACTTGGCTGGTGCTTGGAGTAGAGAAGTCACTGATTCCTATACTAATTGATTTGGTGGTTCTTTTTCAGGGTACCTAGAACAGGAACTGCGCAAGGCTGGGATGAAGATGAAGGTTCCTGCAGATTCTCCGGTGGCTCCTACACCCAAAGATGCTCTGAATATTCAAGAAGAATCAGAGCAGTTGGCAAAAGAGCTGAGGGAGGTGTCTGGGAACAGACAGACACTACGGGAACGCCTACGAGAACTGCGAGAGTATGCCAACATACTACGAGAGAGTCAGAGATTCACGGGACCATTGGTGAGTTGTTATGACATGTCAGAATTTTTCAACCCTTAAAAGGTGGGCCTTTCCGAAAATTCTCAGGCTTGGACCTAATGTGGTTAAAATTGGTGCGGGCTTTGGACTGATAGGGAGTTTGATCTTTGGTTACAAGGCCACTAAAGTACTGCCAATGCCCCATGTTATGCATAACCCTGGGATCTTAACAATCAGCTATCTCATCTGCTTTTGACAAGCTGCTACTACTTCCTGGTGAACTGTCAAAAGGATCACACACCAAATGGGTGAAAAGTTGTGAATGCAAAAGCCCCACACTTTCTGGCTCATGTCTTAAGTAATGATGTGATTCTGGGAAATTCCCATGGGCCAGCTTCCTACATCACAGCCAAAATCCTGTCACTAAAATTCCAAAAATGTATGAGGCGAGAGCACTTCAAGGTGCCTGTACATATCTTCAGTAGCCACCAAAGTTGGTCCATTTTAAAGGGGAAAGCTCTTGCACCTTAGGTAATGTCCTAGCAATCCTGCCTATTCTGTACCCAGCACATTCCTACTGGCCAGTGAGGCAGCCCACTATAGTGATGGGCCAATAGGAATGTGTGGTTGGCAGCAGGAAGCGGGCAAGGTTTGTTACAAAAGAAATACTTTCATCTTTTTGCAATTTATTATTCTAGCCAGAGTCCGAGGTGTTTAGAGAGCGAGCTGACACTGACCCATTGATTGACCCTGCAGTAGCCTCGAGGCAGGACCTCCGAATCAGGTGAGTTGCTGCACACATTTAATACACCCCCCCTCCCCTTGATCCAGATTTTGTAAAGAGGAATTCCAGGATTTTTTAAAAGTGAACCCTTGCAGTGGGGCTACCCCCACACTGCAATGGTTAACTGCTAATTTTTCTCTAGGGGACAGAAATACTCACCCGATTCTCAATTCCATCTGACTGCTAGACCGGTTCACGCAGCCTCTTTTCCACCGGGCTTCGGTGGTCTAAGGACCCGTGACCTCATCATGTCTATACAGGTCTATTAGGTGTGAGGACTCTGAGGGACATACAGCTGGAGGAGAGGGTAAGAGAGCTGAACGTTCACTGATGCAGGATCAAAGATTGAGTGAGCATTTCTTCTTCTTTATTCAGTCCCCTAGAGAAAAGCAAGCAGTTAACTCTTGCAGTGTGTGGGTATGACCACTGCAAAGGTATAACTTTAAAAATCCTGGAGAGCATATGTGAAGGAAGACAAATGTACACCTTGGCAATACATGCAAAGTTCTTCATGTTTTATTCCTTTTATACATGCAAGTACAGAAAAATACTGGGATTATGGAGATTAAAAGATGTTAGCAAGCGTTTGTGTGGTACCGTATCAAAAGCCTTTGAGAAATCCAGATATACCACATCCACCGGCTTACCTCCGTCCATATCTCTACTTACCCCCTCATAAAAAGTTAGCAAGTTAGTTAGGCAGGAACGGTCTTTCCTGAACCCGTGCTGATTGTCATTAACTATCCCGTTTTCCTGAACAAATTCTACCAGATAATCTCTGCAATGCAGTGTTCTCTGTAATGCATCAGAAATAAGTAGGCAGTGCTGACACCACAGGCTTAGGAATTCAGAGGCAAAAATATGCTGTGTTGTCATGTTAAAGTGAACAGTAGGAGCACACTTTATTTCTGGCACATCCTTCATTATTTTTCTGGTACTAGTTCTAGAATGACCAGAATAAATGAGAACCTTCAAAGGCATACAGAGTGATTTAATTATAGTAATTAAGAATGACCTCAACCTGTCCATCTTTCTCCCACTCTGACTGCCTTTCGGCGATCGCTAAAGACTCCTTTCTTTAGGAAAGCCTATCTACCTCAACTTAACCACTGAACTTTCTCAAACAATTCATCCCCACACAGCTACCTCCTCATGTATCCTTTCTACCTCCCTCTTAGATTGTAAGCCCTCAGGGGCAGGGCCCTCCTTACCATATTGTATTGTAATTATAATGTCTTCCTTATATTGTAAAGCGCTGAGCAAACTGTTGGCGCTATATAAATCCTGTATAATAATAATAATAATAATGTCATGCGCCAAATTTAGAAAAGCAATGTGGCAATTCTAATGCTTTTACCAATACGTGATACAAATTCTGATAGTTATTACAAGACACTGCTAGTGAATCACGAGACTTTTCAGGTGCTAACCCAATGGATTCACACAGACGCCTTTCCCATTATGTATAAAAAGGACTTATTGTACCAAAAATGTTTAACAGCATAGAACATAAAAACCTGAGTACTTATGTTTGTATGGGACAAATGGTTTCCACTCACCCCCTTACTGCCCCCCCCCCCCACCAATCTGCTCTTTCATACAGTCTGACTCTATTGGTTTCTATTACATTCACCTGGTGGGGTAAAGGTCAGATTCCGATGTGTTTCACAGTCAACATAAATGGCTTCTTCAAGGAAATGTGGGGGGAAAAAATCACTCTAACTATAGGCACATGAACAATCAGTACAGATTACTATCTGAATACAAAATATTTTACATTTACAAACGTTACCCTCCGCCCATATCATTTCTACTTCCGTGCATTATATCACAAGGGTTCCCCAAGCATAGTACCAAATCTAACCACCGCGTCTATAACCCAAGAGCAAAAACACATTTTGCAGCTTACCAGTCCTTAGATGTGGTGGCTACATTAGTTTTTCCTTTTTCAGGCTTTTATTTTCACCTGGTGCCAGTAACACGCTACTAGGGTGACTGTGCTGACTCGCCTTACTCTATTTATGGAGACACACCATTGTCACCCTAGAACAATAGTACATAACCATGCCCCCTCTCCTCTTCTCTTTTCTATGACATAGGGGGAGGTATATTGTAGTCCGGGAGATAGGTGGAAGCAGTACTAATAACTTTCTGTGCTTTCTGCCTCTGCTGACTGTTACCGTATCAGATCTGTGGATTTCCAGCAGGATCAACAAGTTTTTGTTTTTTTTGCCCTCGTCTAACAAATATAATAAAATGCTACTTAAATTGGAAATCTAGCTGGGGAACAGTGCTGACTCCACCTCCAGGTTTATAGTAGTCACTGCTTCTTCCCTCCTACCATCCTCATATCATGTCCGTAGACCCTGCTCGCCACCCATAGAGGACAATGTATGAGTTGGGTATCTGCAGTCACATGACCAAGGTAAAAAAAAAAAGATGACATTTATATTAAAATATTTGTGTGTGTTTTTCTTTGTGTGTCTGTGTGTTCTGATTGCTGCAAGGTGCTAATTCTTGTCGCAGTGTGCATACTAGTTTGACAGATCAAAAGAAATTTTTTTAAAAAAAGAGCGTTGCAGTCCATACACTAATATCTTTCAAAGGCAGCCACATGATGCATTTATTTTATGGAAGTAAAAAGCCACCCAGTTTACAATTCCTAAACAGACACATACGAAACTCGGGGTATTGGTCAATATTGGAAAATATTGCTTGCACAGAGTTCCCCAAAAACTGACTTTTGTACTTCTGCTTCCTGTTTCGCTGGAAATAGGGAAGTATCTAGTGAGAATTTTTTTATTTTTTTGTTTCAGTCACGATTTACAGTTGAGCAATAAGCAAATACAAAATCTGTAGTTTAGTCCCGTTATATTTGTAAAACTTCATATAAACATTCTGTCTAGAAGAAGAAAAAAAAAATACAAATATATATATATGTATATGTATATGTGTGTTTTTCCTGCTAGAGAGAATTAAGACCTTTTTTAAAGGAGCTGTGAATGTAGTACTGTGATGTAGTACTGTAAGACATGCATATAAATAGAGTTATCCAATTGAATTGATTTTTTCACAAGAAATTATTGATATGTACTTTTTTATAATTTACTCAACAATCATGTGACCCCCCCACATCTTCCCTGCATGTCCTTCTTTTTCATAGGTGGAAGGAGGGGGGCATATCATTCTAGCAAGGTGGCCATAGTATGACATTCCTGCAATCTCACACCAACACATATACTACAGTGCAATGCGTTCCATAGCTATTCATTTTGAACACCCGCAATGCAGGACTTGTGTGTTGTAACGCACCACAGTGCACAGGTGTGAATGATCTGTGCATTGCATTGTGTCGCGTTAAGAAAATTGTGGCATGCAGCATTTTTGGTGCCCTGCGGCCCATTCACAATGAATATGCTTTTAACGCATTTCTTGTGCAATGCACATAACACACCTGTACATGACTGCAACACACAGGTGTGAACAGGCCCTAACAAAGTCCAGATCTTTTTGGTACCTCCGCTGCTGTACTAGCTATATGCAGTTTACAGGTTTGACAGCAAGGCTCTAGATAGGAGCCCCCGTCAATCAACTTCGGCAACGGAACCAGGTAACTCCTAGAAGCGATCTCAGGGATACAAATTGACCACGCCCATCACGGATCTCCACCATAGACAATAAAACTTATTTATAATTTTATAGATGGATAGATCTATTATTTTGGTAATATACACTTTATTCTTTTCTCATAGCGTCTCTTCTTTTTCAGTTTCATGGCTGGAGTCATTCACCCTTGGCGCATGAACTCATTTGAACGCCTACTGTGGCGTGCTTGCCGAGGATACCTTATTGTCAACTTTGTGGAGATGTCTGAACCCATGGAGGACCTGGTGACGGTATGAAAAGTGTTAGATGACCTCATTGCCATCACTTTTACTTCCACTTTAAGGTTTGGGAGGGAATGGCCTATGAGACCAAGGAGAGGCTTCATGTATGAATATCGCTCCTCTAGAAAGCTATGGATTGTTACCTTTCCATTAACATACCATTACTGGAAAAATGACTGCTCAGGGGTGCAGGATCCATATCGCACGACGCGCAGGACATGTAGTGCCGGGCTTTGGGCAGGTGTTTTGTTCTTTTTCTACATTTAGCCCTGCTGCAGGCAAGCAGGGCTAGATGGAGAGCCGAAGCTCGTTTTCTATAATTGAAACCACTTGTAGCAGCCTGGTTGTCCGCTCTGTGTCACCCCTCGCCGCTCCATAAGAGAAGCTATCACATAGGGGCTTGTTATCCCCTGTGATAGCAATAAGGTTAGGTGGAGAAAAAAAAGGGAGAAAGTATTAAAATTAATTTTAAGAAAAAGTTAAATTGTTTAATTATTTTACTTTGTCACTTTTTTTACATTAATAAAAAAAAAGTGATACAAATTTTAAACCAACCCCGCCGCCTCTGCCATCTACATAAAAATAAATTGTGTGTGAGTGCTGCCCCCATTCCACTCTGCGCCACAGTGTGGTAGCTGGGCAGCATGCACAATGTACATGAATGGGTAAGTTCACTTTCCCAAGTAATTTTGAGAAAATTGAATTATCCACTAAAATCTGGCCCCCCTCCGCCCCCACTGCTTTTACTTACCTTTCGGTAAACAGTCCTTCCCCTTTCCCGCCGGTACAGATGTACTATCGTTAGTGCAGCCTTGTGCTATGGATTTTGAATTTTGCTTGCAAATTTTACACATTCATTGGTATGAGAAGCACTTCTTAGCCTTGTTTAAATACAGTTTTGGTTAAAACATTTTTTTTTGTATCACGACAAGTAGATTGTCATGAGGGACAAGTAGATTGGTCCCTCCTGACTCCTGCAGAGACCTCCTCTGTCACCCAGGTAGCGCCTTTTAACCTGACCCAGCATCCTCCTCATAAGCGCTGTGCACAAGTGCACCATCATTTTGTGCTGGTCACCACTAAAACCCGGGCCCAGGAATGGAGATTTCTTCCCTCCCAGTTCGTTTAGAAATCTCCCGGCTCCAGGATCTCAACTATAATCCAGAAAACCCGGAATGAGTTGTAAAAACAGCTCTTTCCTAGTAACAGTACTTTCCTGGAGCCGCTCAGCCCCTCTGGCTGAGAGTCCTGGGTGACCCTTTTCCCACTCTACATAGTGGCATTGCCACAATATAAAAAAAATATATATATATATATTTTTTTTTTTAATGTTTTGCCTTTCTTGCAATAGGGTGAGAGTGTTACGCAGATTATATTCCTGATCTCATACTGGGGTGAGAGAATTGGAGAGAAGATCAGAAAGATTGCAAACTGGTGAGTGTTAAAGCTCTTTAGTTCAATAAAAGAAAAACAGGATTTGAAAATGAGATGATAAAATGACTAAATGCAACACGTTCATAAATGTCCTTTCCTAAAGCTGGCCATACATTGGTAGATTCTTGTACGAACATTCGTAGGAAAAATCTCAGAACCTTCAATAACGTCATCAGAGACTTGACAAATTTTTGTTTTGGTTTTAACATTCAATTTTTTTTTTTTTTTTAAATGGTGTTTCCTGAACGAAAACAACATTCACTGTTAGAATTTTGTTCAATGAAGAAAGATTTTTCTCTCTGTCCTTGTGTTGGAAAACAATTGATTTGACCCCATTGTTGGACAATCAAATGAACATTCCAAAAACAAATTTTAGGTATGAAATTCGACTGATGTATGGCCAGCTTTAAAGTCAGAGGAGATGAAATGCAATTTGAGATCATAACCTTTTATCTTCTTCGTTCTATCATTTTACTCCTTGCAGTTTCCACTGTCATATTTATCCGTACGCTGAAGATGAGTCAGCCAGACTAGACAAGCTGAGGGATCTCCTAGTCCAGATTCAAGACATGCAAAAGGTGACCTATTCACAAAACCATTAAAGAGGAACCTTGCCTCGGATTTTTATTTTTCTGCCCATCTTTCCTTTTCTTCTTGGTGTGCTCTATTTACATACATTGTCCTCCTGTGATCCACTGATAAACAGCTCAGGTCCCTTGCCGCCATCTTGGTACTCCTCAGTCATGGGGAGCTGGCTACCTCTTCTGGGTTCAGGCAGACAACCAATGCTCTTTAATGTGTATGTTTTGTGCTCTACAGGTGCTGACCCAAACAGAGGGTTTCCTAAATCAGGTTCTAAATCTGGTTGCGGAGAAGTTGCATGTCTGGAGAGTTAGCGTGAGGAAGATGAAGCACATCTACCAGATTTTGAACATGTGCAGTGTGCGAGAGCGATGCCTTATCGGAGAGGTCTGGTGTCCTGTGGCGGATCTTCCTCGACTGCAGTCTGCACTGGCCCAACCTTCGGTGAGAGAGTTTGGGAAGTTACCTGTTCAGCAATGGCATGGCGAGATGGACTTTCCTGTGTCTTCCCTGGTTCTTCCAATTTGTTCACGTCCTGTTTTAAAATGGCTAAAATAGTCTAAACTCTTTATTTAATCTGTATATAAACCTGCCGGTAACGCACTTCTGTTTTTAGAGTGACAACACACACTCACTATACTGTATATATGGAAAAGGAGTGCTGTCACCCTAGGCTCTGAATGTAGACTGCAAACACCTCCTCATCTCCTTATCATAGGGTGGAAATGCTCCCTCACTGCAGTGTATTCGGGGAGGAGCAGCATTGTCACCATAGTATGCTCTCTGAATTTGGACTACAAACATCTCCACTGCTCCTCATTTCCTTACCATAGAGCATCAAATATCTGCTTTGTTCTGTCCCCTGACACCCAGTTATCCCATCCTTGTGCTTCTCACACAGCAGCAAGCTGTCAGTGACCATTAGATGTGGTTAGAGATAGAGACCAGGGCTTAGCTACGGACTTTGAACATGGAGGTCAACATTTGCACATCAATAACAGCGCTGTTAGGCCGCGCTTGTTGGGAAAGGAGTGTATCGAAATCAGTGCTGATGGTGCAGATTATAAAGGGGCCACAATATTTCCTTGTTTGGAGAATGGACAGGATCACTGACTGGATATTTTTTAAGGATTTGAATATTCCGTCTTCTACCAAGTTACTCCTGTTTCAGTGTGGTAATGTGTAACAAACGCATGTTGTTGCGCTGTGGTGCCATTCATTCTTAACGTGGAAACATACCTGTTTATCCTTTACAGTCAAGGAAGGTGTCATCTTAGCCTCTTGTTTGGATTGCAATTGTCATGGTGTTGCACATGTGATCAGCTATGACACCAGAAATTCGAGGGCTTCAAAGTTTGCTTGAGAGCTGGAATAAGCGCACTGGCAACCCTGACAGTTGGCATGCCTTCAAAGTAACTGTTTAGGGAAACATTGAATTGGTGGGTAAAGTTCCATTTTAGTGGCACCCCAACACTCTTTGCCAACGGTTGTGTGCTGCAGTGCAGCGCAACACGTGGTAACGCATTACTATTCATTGTGGTGTGCTGTCTTATAATAAATAATGTCTGCACCTTTTGTTTTTGTTTTTTTTTGGTGTGTTCAGCAACCCATTCAAATAAATAGCCTGTCCTAATGAAATGTGCATACATTAACACACCACAAAAGTGGGAATCCTGTTGTAGAAGCTGAACTTCAGCCATGCTCTTCCACCATATAGGCACATCATATTTCATGTTGTGCTGGACCATGTAGCTCTCTTTCTTCTCAGCTCCGGCCTCCCCCACCCCTGTCCCCTTATTTTTGTGCTTGTTCCACTTCCAGGGGTTTTTTCAGTATCACAGATGGACATTATTAGCAGCAGACTGTCCCGTAATGTTTAAGGGATACTATTTATTGTTAATCCATATGATCATTCTAACAATGCTTTTCTTCCAGGAGAGCAGCGGAGGAGTTGGAGAATCCTTCTGTCAACGCATCCCTTGTGCCGTCAGCCCGCCAACTGTAATCCGTACCAACAAGTTCACCTCAGGATTTCAGGAGATTGTGGATGCTTATGGTGTGGCCAGTTACCAGGAAGTAAATCCAGGTATGGTACTTTATATTCTATACTCCCCCCCACCCCCCCTGTGCAGAGTAACATGGTCGCATATACCACGTTACTCTGCACAGTAAGGTTTCTTGTGTCCTCGCTCGCTCCCTTACAATGTGTGTGGTTTTTTTTTTTTCTTCTGAAACCAGCTTTCTCCCTCTCACTTAGACTGCTTCCCTGAAATTCCTGTAGGAGGAGCATGCTCAGTACAAGTCACATGAGTGATCTTCTTGTATCCTCACATTGCAAAATGCCCGTGTTTACTATCTAGAAAGCTGCCATGTATACTATGTGATTAAGACCAGGCAGCATTGTCTCAGAAGCTGCTGCCTGTCAATCACCTTGGAGGAGCAGCTGGGGGAGTGGCTCTGGTCTTCTGAGCAGCCTGTGCATGTAGGCTTTTAGAGCATCTGCATAATAGGCTGTAGTCCCAGGTGGGGGTATGCTTGTAAGGGTGGTTCCAAGGGATTTTCGAAGGGTGTGAAGACCCCCCCCACCCCCCCACCCCCCCTCTATAAATGGAACATGCAGATGAATGCTGTC